GGGGCTTGGCCCCTGCCACTGCTACTGACTCCTGGACTCCCCTAGTGTCAATTTTCTCCCTACTTGTTTCCCTGCTGTCAGTAGTGGATGGGATTGCAGGGTCCCAGCCCTGTGTGCTCCATCTTTCTTTCTGCTTGTGTTGAACCAGGTGCTTGAGGAGGTGGGTTGTGCTGATGGGTCTGATTCCTCCTCCCCACCCCCCCATGTAGGGGTTTTGTGCTGCTGGGCACCAAGCACTCACCTCTCTCTCCAAGCACAGCAGGGAGTCCAGTCCCCACCCTGTGGCTGCTGCCTGCATCCTAGGGTAGGATGTTGTATTTTGTTGGCCGTTTGGTTTTTGTTCTACTGGAATTACAGTATCAAATAGAGAATGCGACTTACATGGAGTAGCTGCCTTGTCTGTGCCAGCTCCACATAATGGAGGGAGAGGGGGTGAAGAATTGGAGGCTGGTATTTCCTGTATTCCTAACGGGTGGTGTCCCTGAGAGGCCTAGTGGTGTGCTAGAGGGAGTGCAGGGGAGGCTGTGGCAATAAGCAGTGCTTAGTGGGAAGAGTGCTGCATTCAAAACATTATGATGTTGGCCCTGCTTGCTCTCAAGCAGAACTGTTCCTTTCAGTGGCACCCACACCCACTCAGAGCCAGCACCCTGTGGGGCAGCTTAATGAAAGGCCTGGGGCTTGTGCTACTGTTACCTGCCAAGCAGGGGCATCTGGCTGCTACGGTAGCAATTGCAGGAACCAGGCTGTGCTGCATGCACAGAACTAGACTTGTCCCTTGGAAGGGAAGGGAAGGCAGGGCTGGGGCTACTGTTCTATACTCCTGCTCATTGCCTACCTTCCAGCTCCCACATGGAGGTACCACACCTCTGCCTCTTTCAGTAGAGGGTAAGGCAGTGGTCACCAACCAGTAGATCTTGGAGCCTCTGATAGGTGATCCTGACTGATGTGGCCAGGAACCTATCAAGCGCTGGCCCTTAAGTTGCCCTCCACCCCATCATGCTGCTCTAGCCCTTTGCCTTGGAGCTGCCTCCAAGGCAAACCTCTTGCTTTCTGTGCAGGTTGTGGGAGGAAGAGGAGAGATACTGATGTCAGCGTGTCCTTTCTCTCCCCACTTCTGTACCCATCTCCACACAGAGAAGGGGATGGAGGGAGCTTGGCAATGCAAATCTGTCACTCACACTGTTTGTGTCTGTCATTCCCACAAACACACAGGCTGTGTCTACATTAGCATCCCTTTTCCGGAAAAGGGTGCCAATGAGACCAGTCAGAATTGCAAATGCCGTGGGGCATTTAATATCCCCCACAGCATTTGCATGAAGATGGCTGCCGCTTTTTTCCGGTTCGGGGCTTTGCCAGAGAAAAGCACCAGTCTAGATGGGATCTTTTGGAAAATAAAGCTTTTTCCGGAAGATCTCTTATTCCTCTTAAAATCAGGAATAAGGGATCTTCTGGAAAAGGCTTTATTTTCTGAAAGATCCCGTCTAGAGTGGCGCTTTTCTCCTGCAAAGCCCCGAGCTGGAAAAAAGCAGCAGCCATGTTCATGCAAATGCTGTGGGGGATATTAAATCCCCCACGGCATTTGCAATTCTGACTGGTCTCATTGGCACCCTTTTCCGGAAAAGGGATGCTAATGTAGACACAGCCTGTGTGTTTGTGGGAATGACAGACACAAACAGTGTGAGTGACAGATTTGCATTGCCAAGCTCCCTCCATCCCCTTCTCTGTGTGGAGATGGACACACACTCCTCTCCTGACCCAATACATAGATGGGGGGGTTGTTACTACTTTTACTGCTTGCAACGTGGGTTATTTCATAATTTTCATTTGGCTCTTAACACATTTAATTCTTTGAGTAGTGAGTTCTAAAATACCTAACGTGTTGTGGCTGGAGTAATTAGCCCTGTGGCCATTGCTGCTCCTGGCCTTGGCTGCTATGTCCCTGCAGCCCCTGAAAAGGTAGAGCAGGGGGTCTTACATGCTGTCCTTGCGTACAGATACCACTCTTGCAGCTCCCATTGATCAGTAATGGGGAACTGTGGGCTCAGTGCCTGTAGATGAGGGCAGCACATGGCGCCATGGCTGTCCATGCCAGCTGCTTTCAGGAGTGATGCAGGGCCAGGGCAGGAGTAAGCCTGCCTTAACCCCACTGCTCCATCACCCGGAAGCCATCTCAGTTAAACAATGCCTTGCCAGAGCCTGCTTCCTGAACCCTTGTCCCAGCCCTGAACTTCTTCCTGCACCCAACCTCCTGCCCCAGATGTGAGGCCCCCTGCAGCCAAATGCCTTCCTAGAGCTTGCACCCTGAAACTCCTCCCAGACCCTGATCTTTGGCCCTGGGCTAAGCCCAGGGCCCCACTCACTCCAAACTCCTTGGACCAGAGCTTGCACTATGCAGCCCCTACCCCAGCCTGGTGAAAGCAAATGAGATTCAGGGAGGACAGGGAATGGAGTGAGCAGGCTGAGGCCTCAGAAGGGGTGGAGCAAGGGCAGGTCCTCGGGTATGTGGGTTGGAGGTAGCTCTTACATTGCACTTAAAAATGATCTTGTGGTTAAGAAGGTTGGAGACCACTGGGGTAAGGGGTAGCTGCACCACTGTTTTGTGAGGCTAAGGCAGAGTCTTGCTCTGCTGGTGTGTGCCTTACCTCAACAGCTCTAGTTTATGCTGCCCTAGTACCTCCCCTCTACCACAACCTGTGCCCTCAGCTTTCTTGCTCTTGGAGCTTTCACAGGCTCCAATTGCAGTTAGTTTGCACAGTCTGTGGGCAGTGCACAAATGGGGATGTCCTTAAGAGAGCTTTCCTATTGGGCTCTGGGCTGACCAGCATCCCTGAGGTAATGGCTGAGCAGTTACCTCTGCAACTAGTGCCTGTTCTCTCCTGGGCTATCTTGGTTCTGGAACACACGGCACTGGAGAGAAGAGCCAGCTCTGATGTGACTTGCTTCCTGCAGGAGGCCTAGCAGAGTCAGAGTGTGAAGAGTTCAGCCTTTCCCTCCCAGACTTGGCTCAGCTGCCCCTTCCCTCTTATTTTTTTCCCTTCATGTGCAGAATATACTTATGTGCACCCAGGCATGCAGATGTGTATCACTAATAGAAGCACATACTGGGGCCACTGCTAATTAGAGAGGCATTTGAATCTCTGGGGTGCTGCCCCAGTGCACAGCTTACAGGGAGTACTGCTGCTGGGCCACATGGAAGGGGGGAGAGCTGGTCCTGGAGCTGGAGTGTCCCAGTGCTTCTCGGAGGGTAGAAGTGTAGGACTCTCATCTTGCCACAAGGTGGCATATTCCAGCCACTCAAGGCCCATGGAAGCCAGCATGCTACTGGGACATGCAGCTGCTTGCTGTACAGCTGGGCTTTGGTTGCACCACCATGAGCCAGAGCTCTTGTGCAACTGGGGCGGCAGGGCAGGGAGGGGAGGCTAGACCAAGACAGGACCTGAATGCAGAGGGAGGGGGGTGCTCCAGTAGGAGCAGAGCCAGCTTGTTGAAGGTTGGTGGCACATGTTCTGGCCTCCCATGGCTGCTAGCTTAGCATCCTTGGGGCTGCTGGGGAGCAGAGGGTGGTTGTGATAGGCTAATTGTTGCTGCTTGTGCTAAGAAGGGGGACAGCCCTACCCTGCATGGAAGGGGTAGGAGAAGAAGCTTGGCTCATGGCTGGAGGTCACCTGCTCCTCCCATTTCTGTGGCTCTGCTCTCTGGCCCAGCTCCCCAGCCAGGTACCACATGCTGTATCTCCAGCACCTATTTGCACCCCACAACCCTCCCCAACATTTTTTCTGGGTTAGGCTCTGATGGCTGTGCTGTACACAGCTGCTGCACTGCCTGCCCTCAGCTTCCTCGGGTGGAAGTCAGGGTGCAATGACCTGTGCTCGGCAGGGAGCTCATCTCATGGATGGTGGGTAAAAGTAGGGATGAGAGGCAAGCCCCTCCACTCATAGCCCTTTGAGAGACAGACCTGCCCCTCACTCAAAGCACAGGGGGCCCACAGCCTTCCCTAGCCATGACACCCCTACCTTCCCAGAGCATGGTCAGCCTTATCCCCTTCTCTGCCCCCATCCCAGCACCAGACACAGAGCAGCCAGTGCAGTGCTGAAACCCAGGTAGCACCAGGAGACTGGGGAAGCCACCCTAAATGGGGGTGGAGGGGGGCAGCCAGGCATTGCTTTCCCGTGCCTCTTTTACCTGCTGCCCATGGATGATCCTCAGGGGAGATGGGTGCATGGAAAGGAAATGGAGGTTGGCTACAGCTTCCTACAGGTGTGTTGGAAATGAGCAGGAGTGACCAGGATGTTTCCACCAGGCACTTCTATGGGCCTCTGTGCCCTTATACCCCCATTACAATCCCTACGCTCCTCTAGCAGCCCCATCCATAGGGCTGGAGCAGCTGGATCAAATGCTGTGGTGGTTACATGCCCGAAGCTATAGCCTATGATGCACAAGCTCCATTTTCAATGCAAAGGGGCAAAGCCTATACCTCCCAGCATTCCCATGACTGGGGCTTATGAACTGCACTGAATGCTGGGATTTGTAGTTCTGCTTCTGCATGGAGCATGTTCAGACTTTTCCAGGCATGTGCTGAACAGTGCCCCTGGCTGCAGCAAAACAATATGTTGAAACCAAAATTCTTACTTTCTCATTGGGGGAGGGGGGAAATGAAAAATCAAGTGTCACGCTTCCTCTCCGTCTTTCATTTTTGCACCAAGATGGGCAAACCTCACCTCTGTGATTAACTGGTCTCTTGATAGAGAGGACCTGGGGCAGGTAAGTCATTCTCATCTGCACACTCCAAAGACAAGGAAGTGGGATGACATGACAGGCTGAGGAGGAATGCCTCACCTAGCTTCTGGAGGCCATGCTTGGTCTCTCTAGGCATTTCTGCAATAGCACAGTTGTACCTTGCAATCCTTTGCACGCAGTATCTCCCAACCTTCTTGGATCATGCTGGTCACTCAGTTCTGACACCCTCTCATGTTGCTTCATTCTTTGGGAGAACATGTGACTACAAGAGAGCACAGTACCTTAGGGCTACGTCTACATTGGCATGATCTTGCACAAGAACTCTTGCAGAAGAGTTCTTGTGCAAAAACTCCCAGAAGAGAGCGTCTACACTGGCATGTGCTTTTGCGCAAGAGATGTGCTTTTGCACAAGAGCATCCATGCCAGGGTAGATGCGCTCTTGTGCAAGAAAGCTCTGATGGCCATTTTAGCCATAGGACTTTCTTGTACAAGGAATTCATTTTGCCTGTCTACACTGGCCTCTTGCACAAGAACAGTTGTGCAAAAGGGCTTATTCCTGAGCGGGAGTGTCAGTTCTGGCACAAGAAGCCCTGATTTCATACATTAGAACATCAGTTTACTTGTGCAAGAACATGCGGCCAGTGCAGACAGGCAGCAAGTTTTTGCACAAGAGCGGCCGCTTTTGCACAAGTTCGCGCCAGTGTAGACACAGCCTAGGAGAAGCACAGCCAAGTACTTTAGGGAACAGCATTCACATATGGGTGGTGGGTGTAATCCTCACTCTCCAGTCCAGTGGTTAGGATACTTGCCTGGGTTGTAGGAGATCCTAGTTCAAACCACCAGCTGTCTGTTGAGCAGGGTATGCACAGGTTATTTCCTGCTTCCTAGGTAACCATCCTTTGCAGGCAGACCTCCTCGCAGAGCCCCAGCTACACAATTCCTATTTCTGTGTACAGATGGTGGAGTCCCCCTCAGTGCACCAGAGGTTGCTGCTGTCAGAAGTCAGTGAGACCGGTGACCTCTTGGGCTGACTGGGTAGATCCTCTGGCACTTGGCCCAGAGCATGGGGCTCTCCACCCTTCATACTCCTCCCCGGCACGTACTTCAGGAGATGGACACTTTGGTACCTGCTGCTCAGGTTTACCTCACTCAGGTCCTGCAAGAGGGTACACCCCGCCCACCCATCACCTCTGGACCTCCGGACATCTCCACTGGTCCCGTGTGCTTTCCTGACTGCCTCCCCCTCATCACCCAAGCTAGCTGCACGCATTGCAACTGGTTCCCTGTCAAACTGCATCAAAATATCTGTACACACTCCTGCTATGCATCACTTCCCCTCCCTTGTGTCCAACCCAGATGATAAATGGTGGGACCTCTTATCTCCAAGAGGGTGGGGAGCCCCAGTGGGCCAGCCTTTATGCCACCTTGGTTCCAGGGCCCCCCAGCTGGAGAATCCTCCACAGTGCTGTGTACTTGGCATGGCTCACCCATTCCTGACACTTGCCCCTTCTGTGGTGTGAGGCCGACCCTGGCCCTCTTTTGGCGCCTCCAGACTCTTTTGTTGAAGTTCTGGCTGCACTTCTCCCTTCACCAATTAATTTATGCGCACCCCATTCATGTCATCACAAAGTGGCAGGATCTCCTGGCTATGCCCAAGATGGCCATTTACAAGACCAGGGAGCAGAGGTTGGCTGAAGGAGGGGGGCCTATTTCTGCACCTGTGGCCAGTCACATCCAGACAGCGTCCGCTGGCTCTCTCCAAGCCTTTGAGGAGCAGTGAGCGCTAGCTGGGGTTCTCTGCTCAGTGTCCCCATCCGGCTCCTTTGTTTTAGCCCTTTGACCTGCACCCCTGTCCCTGCTTTCTCTTTATTTGTCCCCCATAATCACTTAACATTCTGGGCTCTGTGGACCCTCCCTGTAGGCCGTGGGGAGGTTCTGTAGCTGTGGACTGGCTTAGCCCCACCCACCTCCCAGAAGCCAATCCCACAGGAATCCATCCTTTGCAGTGAGCCATCCTTGTCCAAACCCCTTCTCTTTCTCCAGAGGCCATTTTCTCTTGTTATGGGGAGGGATTGCAACAGGGCCCTCTCCCCAGGAGGTGGGAGCCCCCAATTCACACCCTTTAAAGGAGCAGGGGCATGCCCTGGGGTCTGCCCCAACCTGCACCCAATGAATATGCACTGCAAGCGGAGCTGCTTCAGCAGACAAGAATACTGGGTTAATACACTATTGACAGAACAGCATGGGCAGTGGGTACTGTAGGCAGGGGGAGGCTGAGCAGCCCCACACAGCCTATTGCAGCCCCTCACCTAGGCCAGTGTAGCTCCCGCAGGGAGTCAGGGTTGGACACTGCCTGCCCTGAGCCCTAAGCCTGCGGGCGCTAAAGTTGTGGCACATCAGAGTTGAGGCCTTGCCTCCCTGCCCTCAGCTGAGCAGTGCTAGGTTGTGGCCTGCGGTGGGCACGTTTGGGCTCCTTAGGGGGTGAAGGGGATAGAACAGGAGGGC